TTTTTTTTGCAAGGGAGGAGAAATTTTATGGGGAAAAAAATCTCACTGAGCAGTTCTGAATCTTGGACTTTGTAGATGACAATGCTGTGTCACAATGTCAAACAGCTGGATATACCTACAAATTTAAGTCATGTTTCTGTAGATCTTTAAGAGAGAATAGTGTGTGTGTGTGTGTGTGTGTGTGTGTGTGTGTTAGAAGAAGAAAGTGTTAATATTTGGGAGGAAGAAGGAGACAGTAAGAAGGAAGAACAGAACGGTGGAGGACAAAAATTGAGCAAAATATAATGATGCATTGTAATGAAACTGTCACAGTGAGCCCCATTCCACAGTAGCATGGTATAGTGCCCCCTAGTGGCTTTAGTGAAAATCCAGCAGGGTCCCTTCCCACACGGGAAGATGCGGATGCAGACGTACAGAGAGCTAACAGAACAGAGAGTTAAAAGACTCATCACCTCCAATTAGAGGGCCCTGTCTTCCCTGGTGCCTGGTAAACACTCCCACATTTAGGAGAATGCCAGGAGGGGTGACAACTTGGGAGCCTTAGTCAGGAAGATCTCTTGAGCCCAGACAACATGGCAAGATCCCCCTTCTGTTAAAAACTATTATTCTAAGCAGAAATATAGCTCAGAGGGTAAAGGTACTGCCACAAAGTCTGACAACCTGAGTTCAACTGCCCAGGGCCCACATGATGGAAAGAGAGCACCAGATCCTCAGTATTGTCTGGTTGTCACATGTGTGCTTAATTAATAATAATAGTAATAATGATGATAATAATAAATGTCTTAATTATAAAATTTTTAAATATAAAAAATACAACGACAGGTTAAGATTTGTGTCAGTTCAGCCTGAGACACTCCTGCTTCTTTATTAATCGTTCCCTCCTAGTTTTACAAAGCCAATCTTTAACATAGATGCTACTGTTTATCAGTAGATAATTTTTTTCAGAATAAATTTGAATTTGTCAGCATTGATATATCCGACCAGGAGTTAGAGCTAAGTGGTAAGGCGCTTGCCTGGCCTACACAAGGTGCTGGGTTTAATCCTCGACACTAAAAAAATGGATATTTGATGCATCTTGTTAGTTCATTAGCAGAAGCTCAGTCCAGCTAGTGTTCAGGGCTGAAAAGCCAGCCAGCTTCTATCAAATAAGCAGTATAAATAAGCCCCTGTACCTCTGAGAACCAAGGCAGCCTTCATAGGAGCTGCTGGTTTTGCATGCTGCAGTCCTGAGCTCAGGCAGTTTTCTGTTTGCCTGTTGCTAATGATGATTCCTGAATGTGTTTGACATTTTACTTGGCTTTGAAAGGACTTTCATGCCCCCCTGCGCTTTCTTCCCTCAAGCTGATTTGAGCTAATTAGCCTATTCCCTTGCTGGCTGGGCCTACTACTATATGCAAATGTTCTCATTTCCAATTCTGACATATCACTCTTGCGTGCACATCCCTAATGAAATCCTGGGGCGTTTATGGGGCAGTGCACCTGTGTTGCCAGCAGAGGCCGCATGGAACAGTTCTCTGAGTAGACCTCAGCAATCATGTTCCCTTGCCTGCTGGTGTAAGAAACCTGTGTGGGAAAGATAGCTCAGTAGTTAAGAGCACTAGTTGCTCCTTGCAGCAGACCCACATTTCAGACAGCGAAAGGTAACAACACTTTTGATGCTTTAGAGTTTGATTTTAGGCTGTCCCTACAGTGGATTTGTAAACACTGGGTGCATATGATGCTCTGTGTTCTTAATAGGAGAGAGTCATACTAAATAATGTTATTTGAAACACAATTCCTCATCTGCTTTGGGGCTTTTCTACATGCTCAGATGCATGCTATTTTTAATTTCTTTAGCATAAATAACTTCAGTCTTTTTACTTGTTTCTGTCCCCATGTCTAATGGCTCTCTTGTCACTGTGAGAGATCCTTTTCTTATTGAAGTAACTCTGGTGTTCAGACACCAGATGTCTAGATCTCCACGTTCTTGTATACCTGAGCATTCTTAGTTTCCCTTTACTTGATCAAATTCAGAAGGGAGGGCCAGCTTCTTGTGTCATTTGTCACCTTGCTGTAGTACTACTTGTGTTGAAACAAAACAAGAGCTATTAAACTACTACTACCCGCTGCTAGAGTTTGAAACCTTGTGAAAAGTCTAGAGCTGGGGCTGGAGAGGTGGCTTGGTGAGTAAAGCATTTACCATACAAGTGTGAGTTTAGATCCCCAGAACCCATGTAAACAATGAACAATATACCATATGTCTGTAATCCCAGCACTCCTATGACAGGATGGAAGCCACACAAAAGAGAATCCTTGGGAGCTCACAGGCTGTCTTACACAATAGTAATGAGACCCCCATCTCAAAGAAGGTAGAAGGTGAGAACTGACCCCTAAAGTTGTCCTTTGAACTCTGCATGCACGCTGTCACATGCTAACACATACATACTCACTATAAACTGACGAGTGGAGTGATACAAAGAAGAGGAGCAAAGCGAAGGATTGTGTTGCATTGTGGGTCTTGCTGTTGCTTCAACATGGTTACAGTTTGAATTGCTGAAGATTGGGAGCTTACAGTATGAGTTTGGTTTTTATTTGGAAAAGGCTTAGAGCTTTTGTTTGGGTTTGATTTTTTGTTTGTTTACTTCCTTGCTTGCTCTTTTCCTCCTTTTTGACAGGGTAGCCCAAGCTGACCTGGAACTTACTATCTAGCTCAGGCTAGTTTACAACATACCAGTCTTCCTTCCTCAGCCTCCCAAGGACTGAGATTACAGCAGTCATTACCATACTCAGTTTGGGAGAGGGCGGGTCTGTTTTAAATTCAGATCACAAGAAAGAGAATCTGAGGAAGAAATGTATTCAGGTCCCAACCCCAGAAATGCAGCTCCCCACATCAGAGCCTTAGAAGTTGCTTCCCTCTGCAGCTTCTCCCTTTGGACAGCATTGTCAACTACTGCTGCTAGCTAGCATGCTTCACAGTGGTCACCTTGAAAGTCTACCTCATGTCAGGTGGACATTGTTCACACAATGGTGGTGACTCAGAATTCAGTGTCTCTGTGAGACTGAGACGGGATGGCGCCACACGAATTCCTTGCATCACTACATGGCTGGGTTTGGACACATAGGTGTGATTAGTTTGGCAAAAAATCTCATCCTCTGCTCCCAGTGAACTGGCCCCTTCCAGGGGAAGAAGAGGAGATGGTAAGGAGAGAATATTCAAAGATGAAACTTGGCCAGGCAGAGACATGGATGAAGCAAGTGCTTCACTATTAATTAAGGAAGCTTTCAAAGTCTTGGCTTTATTTCATTTACATATTTGTGTGTTTATTTATGCACCATTCGTATGAGTAATCATCTTATATATAGCCCAGGAAAGCCTCAAGTTTGTGGTCATCCTCCTGCCTGAGCCTTCAGTGTGCTGGAATTTCATGCATGAGCCACCATGTCAGGCTTGATCTTATATATTGTGTTTGTTTGAGTTTTTTTTTTTTTAAGCTGAAATTATTTTTGTAACTTTCTCAAAGATTTCTTGATGTTTCCCATAAATTACTGTACTTGGAATTCCTTTGAGACCTTTAATGAGCAGAATTGTTTTGGGGCTGCTGCTGTTGAGTTGAGGTATTTGGGTATATGTTTGAGAGGTGCTATTAGGAAAGGGGACACCACCCTGACACCAGGTGAAATCTTAATGATATTGACTCTGGCATCTAAAGATGGAGAAATGGCCTGCAGACCCACCGGGCATCTGTACTCCAAACCCACACCTTCCCAAAGCTCAGCTCTTGGGGACTCATTTGACTGAGAAAAAATTTCTTAGGTGAGGAGTAATGGCACTAATTGTAAAGATAACTCTTTCCACCAACCGCCTGAGCCCCGCCACCACGTGGGCACCCAAAATAACACAGAGAGATTAATATTAGATACAAATGCTGCTGGCCAATGACTAGAATTTGTTAGTTGCTAGCTCTGTCTTAAGTATCAACCATAACCATTAATCTGTATATTTTAAAAGACTTATCGTATTGAGGATGCTGGCGGCAAGCATCCTGTCTTCCCAGGCTCACATGGCAACGCCTTTCTTACTACATTTCCCAGAATCCTCCTTGACTCCCACCTATCCTGCTTCCTCATTGGCCAACAGTGCTTTATTCATCAACCAATAAGACAAACACATACACAGAAGGCCTTCCCCCATCAACTAACCTTTTTGTGAAAGGAATTTACAAAATGCATCATCATCTAGGAAAAAAAAAAAAAAAAAAAAAAGCAGATTGCCACACACCTGTGATCCCAGTACTTACTTGGGAGAGGCTGAGTCAGGAGGATCATGAATTCAAGGCCAGCCTCCATTACACAGCCAATTTGAGGCCAGCCAGAACAACAAGAGCGCCTTATAAAAGAGAAAAATGGATTATCTACCTCCTCTCCAAGGAGAGAAAAAAATGGTGGAAGAGGAAAGAAAGTGTGGAGAAATGTTTGAACTGCCTACTCTGTTTTATTAAGAAAGTATGTCTGGGCTAGACAGATGGCTGATGATCAAGAGTTTACTGTTCTTATAGGGGACCCAGGTTCAGGTCCTAGCACCCACATGGTGGATTACAACTGCCCATAACTCTAGTGCCAGGGAATGCAATGCCCTCTTCTGGCCTCTGTGGGTACTGGGACATACATACATAAACTCACGCAGGCGCTTATGCACACACAACACACACACACACACACACACACACACACACACACACACACACACACAAATCATAAGCAAATGAGCAAATGTTTAAGAATAGTACACGCTTAAACTTACTTATTTATTGATTCTTATTAGCTCAAATTAGCCTAGCTCGTATTTTATCTATTTTAACAGTTGAGCTATAATCTGCTTTTGGAATGCCCACAGAATCCAGGGTCTCCTCTTACTCTTGGTGGTAATAAGGTTTTTGGTTGGTGAGTGGGTGGACTGTTGGTTTGACCTGATGGAGTTTTTCCCCCAGAGCTGATGTTTTGGTTTTCTTCTTCTCCCCTAGCAAACCCACGGGGAGATGATTCCTCATGAAGGGCCTGGATCCCCTACAGAAATCCAATGTGACTCTCTGTCTATCAGACTAAAATCAGAGCCAGCCAGACAGTGAAACAGCCACCGTGGAGGGGGGACGGCGAAAAATGAAATCCAACCAAGAGAGGAGCAATGAATGCCTGCCTCCTAAAAAACGTGAGATCCCCGCCACCAGCCGGCCCTCTGAGGAGAAGGCCACTGCTCTGCCCAGCGACAACCACTGCGTGGAGGGTGTGGCATGGCTCCCCAGCACCCCTGGCAGCCGCAGCCATGGGGGTGGGCGGCACGGGCCAGCAGGGACTTCCGGGGAGCTTGGTTTACAAGGAATGGGTTTACATAAAGCACTGTCCGCAGGGCTGGACTACTCCCCACCCAGTGCCCCCAGGTCAGTCCCCACAGCTACCACGCTGCCCGCAGTGTACCCTCCTCCTCCGTCAGGGACTCCAGTGTCCCCAGTGCAGTATGCCCACCTGTCACACACCTTCCAGTTCATTGGGTCCTCCCAATACAGTGGGCCCTACGCTGGCTTTATCCCTTCCCAGCTAATCTCCCCATCAGGCAACCCGGTCACCAGTGCGGTGGCCTCGGCTGCAGGGGCCACCACTCCATCACAGCGCTCCCAGCTGGAGGCCTATTCCACCCTGCTGGCCAACATGGGCAGTCTGAGCCAGGCACCGGGACATAAGATTGAGCCCCCACCGCAGCAGCACCTCAGCAGGGCTGCGGGGCTAGTCACCCCGGGGTCCCCGCCACCCACCCAGCAGAATCAGTACATTCATATTTCCAGCTCTCCACAGAGCTCTGGGCGGGCAGCATCTCCCCCACCCATTCCGGTCCACCTCCATCCCCATCAGACGATGATCCCGCACACACTCACCCTGGGGCCCTCGTCCCAGGTGGTCGTGCAATACAGCGATGCCGGAGGCCACTTTGTTCCTCGAGAGTCCACCAAAAAAGCAGAAAGCAGCAGGTTGCAGCAGGCTATGCAAGCCAAGGAGGTCCTGAATGGGGAGATGGAGAAGAGTCGGAGGTATGGGGCACCGTCCTCTGTGGAGCTGAGCCTGGGAAAGGCAAGCGGCAAGTCAGTGCCTCATCCTTATGAGTCCCGGCATGTGGTGGTCCACCCAAGCCCAGCAGACTACAGCAGTCGTGATACCTCTGGGGTCCGTGGATCTGTGATGGTCCTGCCCAACAACAACACACCCTCAGCTGACCTGGAGGCGCAGCAGGCCACACATCGCGAGGCCTCGCCATCCACCCTCAATGACAAGAGCAGCCTGCACTTAGGGAAGCCCGGCCACCGCTCCTATGCACTGTCCCCACACACGGTCATTCAGACGACACACAGTGCATCAGAGCCTCTCCCAGTGGGCCTGCCAGCCACAGCCTTCTATGCTGGGACTCAGCCTCCTGTCATCGGCTACCTGAGTGGCCAGCAGCAAGCAATCACCTACGCCGGCAGTCTGCCCCAGCACCTGGTGATCCCAGGTACCCAGCCTCTGCTCATCCCTGTGGGCAGCCCTGACATGGACACACCTGGGGCAGCCTCGGCCATAGTCACATCTTCACCCCAGTTTGCTGCAGTGCCTCACACGTTTGTCACCACCGCCCTGCCCAAGAGCGAGAACTTCAACCCCGAGGCCCTGGTCACCCAGGCCGCCTACCCAGCCATGGTGCAGGCCCAGATCCACCTGCCCGTGGTGCAGTCAGTGGCATCCCCTGCCGCCGCGCCACCCACGCTGCCACCATATTTCATGAAAGGCTCCATCATCCAACTGGCCAACGGGGAGCTGAAAAAGGTGGAGGACCTGAAGACGGAGGACTTCATCCAGAGTGCAGAGATTAGTAATGACCTCAAGATTGACTCCAGCACAGTGGAGAGGATCGAAGACAGCCACAGCCCCGGTGTGGCCGTGATACAATTCGCCGTTGGTGAACATCGAGCCCAGGTAACCCTCACCAGGGTCATTCAGGTAGGGAGCCCCTACCCCCATTCTGTCATCTCCTGGCAAAGTGATTGCTTCTGGCAGGTAGGGTTCTCATTGGTACCCGGTGCTATGAGGGGCAGGGATGCTTGCAGTGATCCAGGGGCAAGGAAACTGAGAAGAATTGCCTTCCACATGATCTTCATTAAGAAAGCTAGGGCATCGTGGCTATAGGCAGCCATGCTGCAGCCCTCTGGGGAGAGAGAGAACCTTCAGTGCTGAAGAAGAGCTTCCTCACGGGAAAGCCACCACAGATACTGTGATGGATCCCAGAGGCGTGTCATGGGGTGGGATTCTTGTCATTGGGTTTTAGGGTGACCTGGACTGTGTGTCAGAAGTCACAAAGTAGGAAAATGCAGATTCCCAGGATTGTCCTCAACAATAGCTAAAGGCACTTGTGACCCTCTGATCCCCCTGCCTCCAGTTCTAGAGCTCAGGGATTACAGGTATATGCCACCATGCCCAGTTTAATTCGGTATTGGAAATCAAACCCAGGGCCTCACGCCTGCTAGGCAAGGACTCCACCAATAGAGCTACTTCTCAGCCTCCTTTCCAGAATCTTAAAACCATCTTCTAGCATTTACTCCAGGGGCCGTTTATATGGGTCAGCAGCTTTACTGACCACATTGCTGAGGGTCAGCCAGTCTTGTCTCTGTCTAGGCACACCCCCTGAAAGACCATATGTGGGGTCTTGCTCCTTCCCTGAAACCTTTTAACCTAGCATGGTCTTTGTGGGTAGGGGCCACAGTCATTCAATATTCAGTAAGGGTCAAAACCGTTTTTCTAGAAAGTTCTGATTCTGAGAAGATGATAGCATGTTTATTTAAATTGTTACATGTATATGTGTGTGCTGTTGCTCACTTACAATGTGAAGTGATGTCAGCAGAATGGACTCTCAGGCCCAGGGCAAACCATGGAAATAGGCCAGAATGTGTTCTTCTTCCTCATAGTTTTAGTCCTTAGAGCATGAATATGACCAGAGGCAAGCAAGCAAAACGTTGGTTTATTTGTTTCACTACTGGGAATTAAACCCAGGGCCTTGTACATGCTAGGCAAGCACTCTACCACTGAGCTATACTCCCAGCCCAGTTTTGAAAATGGTATTCTTTTCTGAGAAGCATCTTTCAGCAAGAGAATAAGTTCAGCCACTGTAGCCTGGGGCTTGTACATCCAGATCCAAACAGACCAAGATCCCAAGACTTAAGAGCCCACAGTCCTCTTCAGCTTGGAGGGGCAACAATGTCTGTGTGTTTGCCCCTGTTCAGAACTCTACAAAATTAATATGTAAGCCATGGAGAGACTGGCTTCCCTGTGAGGTCAGACCCTGCTCTCTCTCCTCCCCACAGCCTGACAGCAGGGCTTCTAGCAGCACAATAAGCAGACAGAGTGTTCCTTTCTCTCCTGGGATGGAAAGGGCTATTGCAACGCCAGACAAGAGGCCTGTGATCTGCTAAAGAGACTGCTTGGGTTTCAGGCCATTGAAATAAAAGTGCAAGGCTCAGACCTAACCACTGATTTGTGGCTTTATTCTAGAAGCCTATCAGAGACAGGCTGACATCATTGCAGAGGAAATGCTCTGCAAGCAATGCTTGCCCAAGTGGCAGGTTTTGAATCACCAAGTCACAGGAGAGAAAGAAGAGCAGGGGATTTGGTGAGGGAGAGAGAATAGCAGCAGACTTAATTGAGCTTGCAAGGGCTGCCCTCCCTCCCAGCTATCTCTCCAAGGACCTTTCTCCCTAGCCTGAGCAGACACCTAGATCTCCACAACTGGTTAGATAAAGCTCACCCCAGTACCCACAGGGAAATGTAGAAATAAACAAGTTGTTGAGTTTGGGGAACAGAATCACGAATTCATTTAGGGAGCTTGTGGGGAAAAGATGGTTTTCCTAGGATAGAAATGGCTTTGTGACCCTGGGCACAAAGCGCTTCAGGAGCAGAAAGCCACAAGAACACTGGCCTAGCACAACCTCCATGGCCTTCCTAGAGAGCACTGGGGTGGTGGGGAGAGCTAGAAGCCCAGCCATGCATTGTATGGGGCAAGTGACTTTTCCCAATGCCCCTCCCCAGCTGCTGGCCTCTCTTCTCTAAAACAGACTAACCTAATGATGCTACATAAAGACAATCTTCTGAGCCTGTAGGGTTTTGTTTGGGGGCTTTTTTTGGGGGGGGTGTCTTCAAGTGTGTGTGTCTGTTCTGTCTGTCTTTGGTATGTATGTGCATGTTTGTCTATGGGGTGTGTCTATTGTGTGTGTATGTCTATGGTATGTGTATGTGTGTGTTCATGGTATGTGTGTCTATGGTGTGTGTGTGCATGTTTGTCTGTGGGGTGTATAGGTGTGTCTATAGTGTGTCTGTGGGGTGTATATGTGTGTCTATTGTGTGTGTGTGTGTGTGTGTGTGTGTGTGTGTGTGTGTGTGTTCGAATCTAGTTCCTTGGACATCACCAGTCAAGAGCTGTACTACTAAAGCTCTCTCCCCTTCACCCTCCTCTGCTGTTTTTTGCTTGTTTGTTTGTTTTTGTTTTAAGCCTTTGCTTTTCTATCTTCCAGAACAAACTTAGTTGTTTTTATTTGCTTCAGCAATGAAAGTTAAAAGTATGTTCAGGGAAGCTCTTACTGACTTCCAGCTAAGCAGCCCAGACATAAAGTAGGAACTGAGCCAGGGATCTGTGTTGGTGACTTTATGTGAGTATGCATTGTAGGTGTAAGTGTGTAGGTGCAAAAGCCCATAAACCCAGTGAGGAGGCCAGAAGAGGATGCTGGGTATCTCCCTCTCTACCTCCCTGCCCTTCTACCTTCAGATGGGGAGGGACTCTTACCTTTAGGCTAAGCTAGCTGGCCAGCAAGCCTCAGACTTCTGTCTGCTCTCCAACACTGAAGTTACAGGCACACACAGTCACCCTGGATTTTTATGTGGATGTTGGGGATTCAAACTCAGGTCCTCCCATTTGCATGGCAAGTGCCCTTAACCACTAAGCCATGTTCCCAGGCCCTTAGTGAATATTTTTAAGGAGCTGAATCCTAACTGTTTCTGTGAAAAGAATGTTGTCTCTGTCTGGTGTTCACATGAGGTAGCAATACAGTAGGGAAATGTTTTCCTGTATTTGTCGTCCACTATCTCTGTGGCTTTGCTGTACACTGCACTGTTGTGCCCTTGTAGAATAGTGCTATGGGGAAAGCTATAAGCGTTGCTCTGTGTCACTGCATTTGCTGAGAGAAGCAAGCCTCTTTCCTCTTTAGGTGGATAGGTAGCACATCCCACAAGGATAGGGACAGGGTTGCTGCTCCTGCTGTGCCTTTGTTCAGACTGGGAGCCCCATAGGACTGCTGTTTCCTTTGAGTTCACTCCCAAATATAACCCACTTGCCGTTCTCCAAGTATGAAGTCATAAGCCTTGGGCATGTGTCAACAACGGGATGCAGAGTAAAGCATGGCCTTTTAGAAAAGGGAAAGAAAAAGGGATGGGTATGTGGGAAGGTTGGTTAGGAAGCAAGTTCTCTGCTGGGAAAATGCATTCATAGGTACCTCAAGTAAAAAGGACCAAGTCTGACTCTGTCCACCACCGTCTAGCAGCCCTGGCACGGAGCACAGTGTTCTCTGTATAGTAGGAGACTTTAACCCTGAGAAAGAGGAGAGACTCGCTTCCTAAGAGAAAATGCAGCATTGTATGCTCTAAAAAGAATGAATGGAAAGAAAGGCCGTCTCCTCAACCCTAGTTTAGAAAACTGGCTTTCTTGGTAAACACAACAAGCTGCCCTGCGCCTGCCCGTGTCCTTGTTGTCTGCTCCCATGCAGAGGAAGACCGTATTCCCACTTCTACTAGGCAGTTTAAATAGATACAAGCTAGCCTGCATGAGCGCCTGTATCTAGTCATCAGCAGGAGCTGGACATGAGTGAGGACTGGGGGCCCGCCCCTCCAGATCAGCACGAGCACCCATGTACAAATCAAGGGCCTGTGAGAAGTTGTCAGCTGTGTCACTACTGGGAGAGTTCCTGTACGAGAGCATCCCACTGGGTGCCTTTGACTTTGCCCGCAGTGCCCATTGGGAAAGCAGCCTGCCCACCTCTCTGCCCCAGCCTTCTGGACATGAGCTTTTCTGAATCAGCAGTGCTTCTGTAAAGTGCTCTCACCTGACACCTCCCTCTGGCCCTGGCTCTCCTCAATGCTGAGGAGCTCCATGTTATTAGGGCTGTCTGTCACTTCCCAGGTCCTCCTGAGGTAACTGCTTCCCTTGCTGACTCCTTGATATCCGCTGCTGCTTTCTTCTCCCCGTGTGGGCAGGTGCACATGTCCCTATGGCAGGCTGTGATGCTGTGCTCACTGTGTGTGCACGGACAGCTTTTCTTTCATTCCACTATTTCTCAGTTTGACTGCTGTGGACTGTGAGTTACTGGTGGCACTGTTGTAATGGATTAACTGGAGCCTAAAAGGAGTCAAGGCTCTCATGCAAGCAGCAAATAAGCCTGGATAGTCAGTCCCTTAACTACTCAAAAATATCTACTGTTCAGTCTGTAGGGAAAAAAAAAAACAACAAATTCATCAAAATATAGATGCCCAGTGGCCTGAGTGAAGGCCATGTGCTAGGTCTGCCGGCCAGTTGTCCATAGGTAATAATCTCACTACCTCTCAGTTCTGATATCAAAAGGCTCCCTCTGGGAAACTGCATGAAGCCACACTTGTTTGTATGTGTCTTTTGACACATGTGGTGCTACAGGACCTAGCTACCTGGGCAGGAGGATTGTTTGAGCCTGGATATGTAAGAGGAGCCTGCACGTCATAGAAAGACCCATCTCTAAAACATAACAGAAGAAATATGTTGCTTTTCAGCCTTTATGGGGTGTGTCTTCTACTTGATGGTCTTTTTCTTGATAACAGGTTGTTTTAGATCATAGTTGTTATGGCTTGGCTTTATTTCATTTTTTCTTAAGGAGTCACCCAGACTGACCTTGAACTCTTGACAATAC